TAGTGTCATGGTCATGTGTGGGTAGTGTCATGGTCATGTGTGGGTAGTGTCATGGTTGTGTGTGGGTAGTGTCATGGTCATGTGTGGGTAGTGCCACAGTCATGTGCAGGTAGTGTCATGGTCATGTGTGGGTAGTGCCACAGTCATGTGCAGGTAGTGTCATTGTCATATGCAGGTTGCATGATGTTAAGTAGTTACAAGTGACTGTATCATATTTACCTTGTTAAGTGCCACCACAAATGGTGTTTTCTTTGCCTTTAGCAGATTTATTGATTCAATAGTCTGTGGTTCCAATCCATGCATAATATCAACTACTAATATAGCCATATCACAAAGCGATGATCCACGAGAACGAAGATTACTGAAACATAATAGACCAAAACATATATAAATAATTATGAATAAGGGTATTGTGGTAGCCAAAGTGAGCTGTAAAAGGTATGTGAAGTATTTTACCTGAAGGATTCGTGGCCTGGTGTATCGATGATCAGAAGACCAGGAATTTGGATGTCGAAAGTTTGGAACTAAAAACAAAATATCCAAATTAAAATTGTTTTGTCCCTGAAATCTTTACTACTGCATGCCACTGATGTTGGTTTCCACTAATGCAAATATTTTTACTGACTACAGTAACTGGACAGAATGAGGTTGTTTTCTGGGTCGTGAAAAGTGCTAACTTTTATTGCAGGATGATATTTTTCTTACATCTTTGATCATGGAAGTTTGTATTTTAATGGCRTCATTGGGTACCATGGTAGCACCAATCTGTTGTGTGATACCACCGGCTTCTCCATCCTGGACATGGGTGTGACGAATCTAAAATGAATAGATCATTATTAAATTTGGACAAAGGTTATGGAAACTGTAGCTGAATTCTTACAGTAATAAAGCTGATCAACCAAAACTATTATTGGCAATAGTAAGAATGACAATGACAGCAGCGTGGGAAGGAAAACGCCAATATCGGCATCAGCAAAAACAACAGCATCATTTAATCATCATCATCATCAATAAGAAGATCAACAACAATGAAAAACAGATACTGCTTCAAATATAATTAAAAAAGTAATGACATAATATCAACAACAATGATGAAAACAACAACAATGATGATGACACAACATATTCATCATGCATGGCCATCATGACAAGCAGCATTAATGGCCACAGTGGTACGACAACAATAACACTAAAAAATAATAAAAATAACAAAATGCAAAAACAGCAACAACAACAACAACCAGCTAGTTTCAACTTTTAGTTTAAGGAATACAAAGGCAAATGGATCTGGTTCAATATGTTTTTGGCGTACCTTATCAAGTATCTTTGTCTTTCCTGTATCGACATGGCCAAGCACACAAATAACAGGTGACCGAAGTTTGTCAGTAGACCGTTTTATCTCAGCTCGAGTTTTTCTCTTGGCTATTCTTTCTTGAATGCTTTCTGTTTTGTCTATTTTGTGTTCATCTTCCTCTGATTCACTCTCTTCTTCAGATTCCTCATCATCGCTCTCTTCACTACTACTCTTTTCACTTTCCTCTTCTTCTTCACTTTTCTCTTCTGTTTTTTTCTGCACAAACAGATAATGTATGTAGAGTATTGAGTGGTGGATAACAGCAAGTTTAAAATTAAATTGAGTACCTGTTCTCAAAAAGAGAATTTGGAAACTAGTACTCTAGAGGGTCTAGTAGCTAAAGCGGTGAAATCAGGCAAAACTAAGATCTAGACATTYTTGTACACAATTTAATTACTGTACAAACCTCAACAATTCCTTCTGTTTTCTCAGCTTTTTCTTGTTCTAAAACAGTTATGGAAATAAAGAAAAAGAAAGAATGGTCTTAAACAAATACTAACACCCATCTTTCTTCCTATAGGTGGTTTGCAATCTTTCATAAGAGACAGAAATAACAAGACATAGCAGGAGCCAGGATGGTTGATAAAACAAAAGAGACTACTAAAACATTTGTCAAATTCAACCAACACAAAAATGAAAACCTGAAATTTTGATTGTTGAATATAATATTATGCTCAAATGTCTTTTTCATTGATATAGTTTTCAAAGAAGAGAAAAAATAAACCTTTTTGTGGTTCCTCAACCTCCTCTTCAGAGTCCAAATCCCAGGCATCTTTCACCTATGGATCAAAATCATAAAAGGCTTCTTTGTGAAGAAAAAATCTTCAACAGCTACAATATCATTTAATCAACTTATAACTACAACTATTATAGTTGAAGTGCAAACTAGCATTTTAAAGACCTTTTCAAAGAACTGAAATAAAAAAACATTTTTGATATCTTAAGGGAGATCAGTTTTACACTGAATTTTAATCTTTAAAAAGGTTTTAGAGGATTAGAGGGTTTTAAAAAATCTTCAATTCAGTCTGAAAATCTTCCTAAAGGTAGTTTTTTAAAATTCATTTTTTTGATTGACACTCATTGAAATGCTAGCCGGCAAACAAGACATTGAACTTCGCCGATCGTACTTCAACGATAATGGTAGTTATAAGTGATCATACCTCTTCTTCAACGTCTTCTTCCTTGGCAGACTCAGCTGTAGCACTTTCACTATCATTTTCTGATAATGAAAAGTTGAATAGAGTTCATGAATTTGCAAAGCAATGCCTCAATGGCAATGATGCACAATTTTTAAATAGAACAGTAATTATTTTTAATAACAGTCATGAATTTATTCAAATCCAACAACTGGTCTATCGTCAATGCTGCATTATGATTGCACTCATAGTCCAGCTCACGTTCGAAGACTAATATTTGCYGTAAATAGTAATAACGAACCTTCCTTTTCTTCTTCCTTTTCTCCTTCATTTTCTTCTTCTTTTGTTTCTTTCATTTCAATATCTATTTTTCAACAAACAGAAATAAAGACATTTTCAGTGACAAAATTGGTGTCACATTACTCAATAGATAGTTTACCAAGCATTCTCTACTCAACAATATTGTATCCAATAATTTACAAATACAATACAAATTTTATTTTCTTAAGTGAAGAAATCACTTTAGTATTCAATTAAGGATTAAAGTTCTACATAACATAATAAAGTTATATATAATGCTATATATTTAATGTTTATTGTAGGTTATGTGACTCCTTCAAAAGTCTGGATATTTGTAGTACACAAGATTATTACCAACCTCTAGTCTGGTCTTTTTCTTGCTGTTGCTGTTGTTGTTGTTGCTTATTTTTAGGTTTCTTGGATCCATATCTGACAGGCTTCCTTATACCTTCTTGCCCTTCATTACTTAATGCAGGGATTTCAATACCTTAGTTTATAGAAGAGAAGAAATGAAATCAATTTTCATTAACAATGACAATATCGTTATGCAGCTGGAGAGTGCATTCTTCTCAACAATGTAACTTGGAATCAAGTAAATAAAACATGAATAATATATATATATATATGAATAAATAAAAAAGTGGCTCTTCTTCCGCTTGACTCCTATTAGAATTTAGAAGCTGATTTTTGCAGAGCAAGGAAGAACCAGAGAAACCGGGAAAAAACTCAATTCTACTCACATACAAGCTAGGCTAAATCCAGATATCAAACCCAGGTTGCCTTGGTGAGAAATTCAATTACTCCTATCCGAGACTTTTTATATACAGTATATATATAGCTCTGTTTGGGGCTTCCCCTTCCAACAGATTAAATCTGGACCAATATCTAGTTCTATATTTTTGGACTCAGACRAATATTTCTAAATTTCAGTTAGATTCCTTAGAATAAGACCCACTCTGGAACAAGACCACTAGCCTGCCAAACGACTCAGATATTTACTCATAATTTTACCTTGTTGTTTCATAGCCTCAAGCATTGCCAGCTGTTTAGCCTTCTGCTCTTTTTGAGCTTTGGTCAGAAATTTTCCTTCCTGCTTTAGTCTTGCAATCCTCTCCTAAAAATGGAATAATGCATTGCCAGTTCAACGAACAAGAAACATTCTGGCTCTAGCTTAACATAAATCCTCTATTAACTATTAAATCAAGACGATCCAAAAGAACATATATAATAAGCCCCTCTCTCTAATAAGCCCTCCTCTCTAATAAGCTCCCCCTCTCTAATAAGCTTCCCCTCTCTAATAAGCTTCCCCTCTCTAATAAGCCCCCCTCTCTAATAAGCTCCCCTCTCTAATAAGCCCCCCTCTCTAATAAGCCCCTCTCTCTAATAAGCTCCCCCTCTCTAATAAGCCTCCCTCTCTAATGACATGTGGTCTGGAATGGGAAAACATTACATCCAAGCTAAAGAAGTCTATATTACATATAAGACAAGCAATATCTTATTACAAACCTTTTCTTTCTGCTTCTTCTTTTCTTTCCTTTCTTTCTCAAGTTGAAGCTGCAAGACAAATAAGGTATTTTTGTGGGTAAAAATWAATTTTTTTTTGTCCTATTTCATTCTTAAGATACCTTTTCTAGCCTTCTTTTTTCTGCTTCTTCTATTGCACGTATTTTAACTTCCTCTTCTTTTTTTCGTTTTTCTTCTTCAATCCGTAGTTGTTCTAATTGCTGTTGCATCTGCTTTACTAAGGCTTTGTTAGGCTTTTTGACTTTCTTTTCTTCTTCCTCCCCACCTTTCTTCTTTTTCTTTTTTTTCTTTTTCTTTTTATCTTCTGTGTCTTCTGCTCCTTCATCTTCTCCAGCTGGTTCTGTACTTTCATCTGGTACTTTATCTTGTACTTCTGTCGATACTTCTTGGGATTGATCTGCAGTTGGTTTTGAGCATGCTTCTTTCTCTAATGAGCAAAATTACAAAAATTTATGGATGTGTGCATGCATGTAGGAACGGGATGGGATAAAATAGATGGATGGCTGGGCAGATGGATAGGATGAAATCATTGACAAATTGATGAATACATGGATGTATGTATACATGAATGGAGGAATGGGATGGGATAAAATAGATGGAAGGGTGGGCAGATGGATAGGATGAAACCATTGACAAATTGATGAATAAATGGATGCATGTATACATGAATGGAGGAATGGGATGGGATAAAATAGATGGAAGGGTGGACAGATGGATAGGATGAAAACATTGATGGATTGATAAATAGGTAGATGGATGGATGAATGCATGAATGGATGAATGCACGGAGGGATGGGATAAAATAGATGGAAAGCTGGGATAGGCAGATGGATGGATGGATTGAATGGGATAGGATGGCAGTTGTGAATGGGTTATTAGAGGAATAGCAAAGGAATTGGTCAGGGCTTATATACATATAAATTTATTGAAACTAACTTAATTTATTGCATTAAATAAATTATCTGTACCTGTAGGGACATCAGATGTTTTGGACTTCATTCCTGTGTCATCAGTTTGTTCATCCTTTGTCTGTTCCTGTGATATTTCTTCATCCTCTGTCTTGGCAGGCTTTTTTCCTTTTTGTTTTTGCTTTTCTTTTTCTAATGCTCGCTTCTTCTTTTCCCTTTCCTTCTTCTCTGCACGTTTTTGTGCAGCTGTCTTGATAACTAAGCCATCATTATCCTCATCTTCATCTCCTTCAACCTCCTGATTATCTTTAGCGTCTTTTGATTTCTTTTGTGATTTTSTTTTCTTTTCATTATTCTCAGTTTCTGGTTCCTCTGCATACAAATCTGCTAACTCATCTATATCCAATTTCTTTTTACCTTTTTTACCTTTTTTAGATTTTTTAGATGAAGCAATATCATCATCATCATCATCAATCAAGTCTATATTTTGGTGCTCAGTATTGTCATCCTTTTCTCCAGGCACTTCTTCATCATTTTCTAAAGCTTCAAATAAATTATTTTTCTTGTCCTTTTTATTTTTCTTTTGATCCTTCTTTGGCTTGGCAACAGTTTCATTTTCATCTTCATCTTCATCTGGTTCTTCACCTGGTTCTTCATTCTCCAATGCCATGAATCGGCTTGCCTTTGCTGTCTACAAAAAAATCTCTTTAAATCACTTTCTATTGGTATATCCTTGTATAAAACAAACAGAGCAACATTCYGAGTTCATATAACTCCTTGCAATTACCCAAGCTAGGATCTCTGACATTATACAGTTTCCCAATTCTCAAACTCATTAATATTTCAAGAGGATCGACAAATCAAATTAACTACATACTGTAGTAGTAATAAATTATGCGTTCGGTGTGTATAATGAAATAGAGAGAATRAGAGAGAAATATCAAATGCCCTTTGCGGTAATCGAACCCACGTCTTTGGTATTCCAGTCCGGACCAACCACGCTGGTAACGCAGCCGGAATATAAAATGTATAAGGTACCCGTGAGGATCCCAGAGCGATATTTTTTCTCTATAGGTAAGTTGAACATCCTGTAGTGTAGTGGTTAACACATCGGACTGAAATACCGAAGACGTGGGTTTGATTCCCGCCAAGAGCATTTAATAATCTTCTCTTATTCTCTCTATTTCATTACACACACCGAACGCATAATTTATTACTACTATTTTTACAGTATTCAACTTATCTATAGAGAAAAAATATTGCTCTGGGATCCTCATGAGTACACTACACATTTCATATTCCGGCTGCGTTACCAGCGTGGTTGGTCCTTGTAGTGAAGTGGTTAACACATTGGCCTGGAATACGAAGACGTGGGTTCGATTCCCGCCAAGGGCATTTGATATTTTTCTCTTATTCTCTCTAACTACATACTGGGTTAGCATAAAATTTGGTAAACTTTGGCTTTAATTTTTACCAAAAAGAATGTTTCATCCTCCATCCAAACACCCAATATAGGTTTGAAAATGGACTCTTAAAAGTAAACTTTTTCTCATACTGGTAATAATTCACCTTTTCGGCACTAGCTTGGATTGTGTTACGGTCACCAAAACGTTGGGACATCGTTCTCGGATTTCCATACAAATTCACTGACTTTAAAGAGAAAATTTAGGTAGATTTCTTTAGTTAGCTATCTTAACAGCAGTAAGAAAAGCTTCAATCAAGCTAGAAGAATGATTATTTACTTGTATTTAGAGAACTAACTAAACATTAACCAAGTAAATAGTTCATTTAGGGTCAGTACATTTGTGCAAAAATTCAAGAACAATGTCCGAACTTTTTGGTGAATGTAGCACAATCTAAAACAATTTATACCCTAGTGCCGAAAAAGGTGAATTAAACAGACTTGAAGGATAAATTTGTCTAAGACTTACTTGTTTGGGCTGCTCTTTAGCTGCCCCTTCTGTACCATTTAAAGATTCAATTTCATTAAGAACATCATCTTCCCTGTAAAGAATACAATCAAACATCATGAATATTTAGATACTTTTCGCTGTAGATAATGAACTTCAAAATGGCATCCCAGATTTTAGATCAGGCTTAATTACATGTTTTATGATACACTCAACAAAATTACTCGATTCTGATTGGACAAAAGGAGTACAATTAAATCCCAAATTGTACTCTGTAGAGTCCCAATTAAGTTGCTCAATTTTAATTTTTGTTGTTGAGCGTATTATGAACAACAAATTGCACAATCTTCTCATACAATTCAGAATTTATGGATACTCATGATTTTTTGAAATTTCTAAAATCATTGTACTCGCGACCGACGGCTCATCCAATTTTGAAAATTTTSAAAATTTTCAAAACATCACCCGTACCTAAAAATATTCAGAATTGTACTTGAGATCATGTGATTTCCTATACAAATCTGGATGTAAAATAAAATTAAAATAAATTAGGAGTAGCTAGGATAATATAAAACTTGGTCTAAATGAATCTTGATGACAAAGTGCCATCTTTATTCACATGAGAATATAAACCTTCATTTAGACCTACATAACATCACACTTAAGGACGTTCATGRGGAAATGAAGTTGCAATCAGCTTTTCTTTAAACTTGGCATAACCATACCCCAATATTATTCTTGTTCAAAAAATGAAATAAAAAATTGGGGTCACCGAATTCAATTTTTTTCTAAAACGTTGAGTCAATATGGTACTCATTGAAGCTGTGCACAAACAATGCCTGCGAACGTCCTTAAGTGCTTGAATGCGAGGCCATGCATGGGGAAAAGCTATTGTTCCAGTCATAATAATATGGCTGGCACATGAGAAATGTTTTCACATTTAGAAAAGAGGCACAAAGAGGAAGAAATATGAATTCTTTTTGGAATCAGATTAGCTTTTTACCCTTACAATAGTACAAAACGTTAAAATATGAATCCGAAAAAAAATTACTATAAGCTTACATAGAATATTATGATATGACTTACGTAGGCACTTTTTGTCCTAAAGATATCTTATAACTTAGCTAATATAATTCAACTTAGGTTGCTGTATTTAAACTAAATGTACCCTCAAGTTCTCGTCATTTATGACGTTTTAATYTTTTAATAACACATTCTTTCTGTTCAAATTTCACTTCACTGAACAACATTTACCATCATCAAACGTCATCATTTTGGTGGAATATTTAATCAAGTTCGATTTGATTGCGTTAAAATCTTACTTTCTGCTAAAACATTTTACTATTAATACGTACCAGTCTTCGTTGGCCTTCTTCTTGCCTCCTTTCTTAGGCTTTCCCATGTTATAGTCAACTTTTTCCTGTTCTTTCTATACGAATTTTATGAATTAAAATTGATGCTCGTCTTCTGCTCAAATTCTTATGATTCGTCGACTTTATAGAAATGAACAGTAATGTCATTGAAAATCGGTGAAAAATTTTTCGAATAATAAATTAAAACAAAATGAATATAAAACCAAAACGTAAAATCTGTTTTGGTTTGTTATTTAGCGCGTGTAGATGAGGAAAATGCACAAAAACTTGAATGGTACTTTGCCTTTCTTCCTAGTCCTTATTGCACATGGCGGCTTGAGCGAGGTACTTCATGGATGTTGAAATCATGGTGTCATGAACGTAGCATTTGTACTTGCGGGGGTGGGGTACGGAAATATCTGAAACGCAAGGAAAGAGGGTCGCGAGGTCAAAAATACGATTCTTAACATGCTGTTATYATTATGATACTAGGACCCACATAGTGAAAGTTCGATATTTTTCTCTCTTAAAAAATAAAAAGAACGAAATTCCTGAAAAACAATGAAACTCCTCAAAAACAATGTGTACTTATTGAAATTATATTGTTGGGCTTCCTTTGGTATTTTGCCTGGACTTCGCGCGCAATTTTTAAAGATTGGGATACCTTTGCTAACTATCAAACAAAATGGCGTATGGTTTTGGTTAGTGACAGTGTGTTTATATTCACGATTCATCAAAGTTATCCAGTTTTGCAAGGCTATTGTCCGTCAAGATTAGATAARAAATAACAAAATGGATATAGAAACCTTTTAGCGTGTTTTTCTCTCTGCAAAAATGGATTTAAGGACAAGATCGGAGCAGATACAGTGGTTGACAGACGCTCTCCAGAACAGCGCACTCTTCACAAAACTTAGAAAAGATTTTCAGGTAATTTCTCATAACTTRATCATTAAATTCATTTATTACTACGAAAAATTGCTTTTAACAATTATTTGAGCCACTTGGATGAATAAAAGAGTCAACCAATTAGATTATGAAGATTTTGAGCTCCATCATAACATTTACTTAATTATTTTGTTTAGTGCGGAGAATGAGAAAAAAATAACATTGATTATTTTAACAAGAGCGAAAATTGCTTTTAAAATGTTCTGTTGAAATAGGAACCTAGTAAAACAAACAAAAAACCCTGGGTATGGGGACTTGGGGGGTATTCTTCAGGGAGCATTGGTGCCATTTCACCAAAGGTTTCTTATTATTGGCCGCCACACTTGGGGATGCTTGCAACCCATCTATGGGTGGGTAAT